GAAGAAAAGATGATTATGGAACAAACAATTTGCCACAAGGACAGTGGAGGACTGGAAAATGGTGAGTTGTCTAAATGTTTGATAACTTCCATACTGTCCAGAAAAATAGTTTTCAAATTTGATTAGCGAAAAACAAATTAAATTAAACTTAATTTAAATTACTAGAATAAAATTAATTGTATTAACTGTAAGCCTACAACAATAGTCTGCGTAATCCACTGTATATGTGTATGTGTGTGTTTTTTCATTTTAAGGTATGTTTTTCTGATGAATCAACACTGGAAATATTGGACAATAATTGCAGGTATGTAAGTAGAAGACCAGGAGAAGAATTTCTTTCCAAAGTGTTTGGTGCAGAAGGTCAAACAACTAACTAAAGTCATGGTTTGGAGCGTGATATCTTTGAAATTTTTATACTTTGTAGATGGCATGATGAATGCTACAAGAAAGTTATAAGAACTTGTCTAATTCCTCAACTAGAGGACTGATTTCCTGATAGGAACTACATTTACATGCAAGATGGGGCACTCTCCCATGCAACCAACATTGTCAAGGATTACTTTGTTGAAATCGGTATGGAGGTGATGCTCTAGCCGGTAAGTAGTCCTGATATTAACCGAATTAAAATTTTCGCCCTTTGCCCCAAACGTGAGAGCAAAAAGTTGATGAAATATTTTTGTACTATTCTCAACTAGACTTATATTCGTTAATAAATTTCAAATTTCATAGTAAAATATTTTAGCGTTCTAAAATTATGATCATATAAATTTTTAACCCCCTCACTTTGAGGGGGTTACAAATTTTATATGGTCATAATTTTTGAACGCTAATAGATAATACTATAAAACTTAAAATTTAATGATGAATATAAGTCTAGTTGAGAATAGTACAAAAAATATTTCATCAACTTGTTGCTCTCTCGTTTGGGGCAGGGGGGCGAAAATATTTTTAGACTATTTTGTTCTCAGCCTCCAATCATTGCAATTTTTTGCAAACCATCCTTATTCGACATTAGTATAAAAAATCTAAATGTTTGGAGTTTGTTCTATGTCTGGAAGTTAGCTGCCTCTACCACCAAAAAATGCTGGATCCCCCCCTATATATATATATATATATATATATATATATATATATATATATATATATATATATATATATATATATAATTATAATGCTTATTTTTGTAGAAAAAAAGGTGCCCGAACTCGCCTTTATTTTTTTTATGTCAAAAATTAAACAGAAATTAGAAATTAAATTTGTAAATTAGTTTTATATATAAGTTTAGCCGTGGCTATGCTCTTCCACGCACCTCTCTCCAGACAAGAGGGAGGAAAGGGTAAAGACAAAATACTATATATAAATTACTAAATAAACAAGACTATAAACTTCTATAGGAAATCCTAGAGTTTTTTCCAATTTTCATAAGGCAAATCATTCTGTCTCTTTTCCTTACTCTTAGTGTCTACATATATATATATAAACAAATCAATACACTTTAAAGGATCAAAGCTGTTAGTGATGGTTCCGCAAATTTGATAAAAAACAACCTTAAACTTTTTTTTTTATTAACAAAGTTCTTTTTGGTTGTTGATGACGAAGTTCATCTGTAAAAATCCTCTTTTGCATTCAGTTGAAGAAATGAAAATAGTAGAGCGTGTACTAAATAAACTAGAATTTCAGTTTTTTTTACAAGATATTTACGGAACCCACAAAACCATTAAATTTTCAATTAATTGTATTTTTATTGACAAATTATTTATTTCAGTTTCTACAAATTCAGCTAAGTCTTAATGTTTTCTGGCCAATGTTTTTGGTCTAAGATGCAAGCCTATTGAACTAATACTAGATGTCAACCATCGTGTATTCGTTTATATAATATAATATATTGTTTATATAATACAAATTCGATTAATTTTCTGCAGCTGAATCATAAGTAATTCCGCTCATAGATGTAACTTTTTTTATTTTGGGAGAAGCACATAAAGCTTGTCAAGAATTGATTCGAATATATTAATCCTTGAGATCTTCCTTATAGTATCGCCTACAAATAATTCCAGTCTATGTTAGCACAATACCAAGTTATAACATAAGGAAATTTCTCACTGAGTAATTTGAAAACGCCACTTTTACATCATCACTTTTACATCATCACTGTTGCGCCATCATAAGCTACAGAAACTAATTAATTATTTAAGTATTCAAACATCATCTCAAAAAAATAAAGACATTCAAGTAAAGCATTTAATACTCCTAGGCGAGGGGGGAGGGTGAAAGATTAAGAAGTGGTCTCTTTTAAAATATTTATTCCATGTTTTTCACTTGAATTTTACGTAATTTAAGAGATGGATGAAATGCTTAGTCAAACTGACAGTGCGTTCATTTGTTTTTTCATAATAATTTTATTGTTCATTATTTTTACAAGTGTATTTTTTTTTAAACCTTTAAAAATAATTGACTAGATCCAAAAATAAATAAATTGTTAAATTTCACTGCTTTTTACACAGCACCAAATGTACACTTTCAGTGTCAATTTTTGGCTTATAGTGGTTGACTCATTAACGAAATCTTACTCTTTGATTTTATGTGTTCTGCAATAATTTTTTTTCCTTATTTTGATACCTATATGATTTACAATGTTAATGCATGCGTTTATAAATTGAATGATACAACCCATTTCCATTCTATCTTGAAAAACAATTTCCATTTCAAAGTTATTAAAAGAAAGATTTTCTTTTTCAACTTTATTTACAGTTCAAAAAAGTCTTTTTAGCGCGAGACTTTTAAATATTATTTGCAAGAATTTATTTTTTAGCTTCTTCTGCCATCTTTCATGCAGCTTGATGCCCAGCAGATTGTGATCAAATATTTTCATTTGTAGCAAACTCAGCTGTTGCGTTCTTTCTTCGTCATAATAAGAAACTTTATGCAGTTTGTAGGCCAAGTTTTTGACTTTTTGGTTTGTAGCCAAGCTTTTTTTTGTCTAAAGCAGAGCTACTCATTTTTTGGAACAAAAATTTGTTTATTGCTTAAATGTCCTGCTATCTGGCCAATCGTAGTTGATGTAATTGTATCCATAAAGTGACGTTGTATTTTTAATTTCTTCTGTTTCTTTTGCACTTGATTAAATCTTTTTCTTAACTGCAGAAAACAAGATGGTGATTTTTATCACATTACCTTTTTCTTTATTTTATTTAACTAATTTTTTTATATCATTTTTTAAACATTCTGAATAATTTATACGCTTTAAAACGCCGATAATAGTAAACTCATTAATGATATAATAAAAGTTACTGTTACAAATTAACAAAAAAAAATGAACGTAAATTCTCATTAAACAAATTTAGTTTTTACAAATGACTTTTTACTAATAACTAATAAAGAAAAAAAATAGATTTTTAAACGCAGCGCTGTTATATTATTAAATCTACTAAAAATGTTTTTAGTAGATTTCAATATTTATAGATTTTAATATATAGGTAATTATTTGATATGCCGTTTTTTTTAGATGTAATTTTTGATTGTATCACAAATTATATTGTATCACATATAACATTGTGAACTGGAAATTGTTTAAAAATTTTTTTTTTATCTTTTTTGTTAATTGTCTATCTAAAACCAAATAAGTTGCAACATTTAAAATCATTTTTTTAATAAATGGTTTGTTTACATAAGTTCATCTAGCTATATGGCTTTTTATGTAAAACTACCCATTTTTACAGGACTCAAATATGTCTAAAAAATTTAAAAAATCTAAAAATAAGTTATTTACGTTTCATTATAGATGAAAATACGCGGGAAAATGTTTTACTCGTTATAAAAAATCATTAATTATAAACCACTCTAGTTTATGTTTTATAATGAATTACATGTAAGAAAATTAAATTAAAATAAGATAGAATCGGACGACTTGCAACTTTCAAATTTTGCACATATAGTTTTAAGTTCCAATAAAAGTTGAAGCAATTGATTTTTATAAAAAAAGTTGAAAATTGCTGATGGCTACTTAATAACAACTTTTATTCCGGTATGTACTTTAAATACTTTTTTTGTGATTAAAATTCCCTTACCCAAAACCCCAGTCGATGGGACTGCGTTTATTACTAAATCAATCAGTGTATCATTATATCACTCTGCGGCGCCTATGGAGCAAAATATTTATAAAGTACATTCTAGTGAAAGTTAAGTTTCCTGAAATCAATTGAAAATAAAAATCTTTTAAATCGGTTGAAAATAAATCAGTCGAAAATGAAAACGTTATAAATCAATCGAAAACAGTTTTGGCCTTAGTAAAACATATGAAAACTATTTCCACTTTTTTAAATATGTGGAAATAATTTTTATATGTTTTGAAAATGAAAAACTTACAAAATTGTATAGGTTTTTCATTTTAAATCAATTTAGTTGGTTCGCTTGGTTCGCGCACTTTTTAAACGGATTTTAAAAGTTTTATAAACAATCGCTTCTAATAAATTCTAATACATTTTTATTATATGCCTACTATTACTGATTCAGCTATGCCATGAAGTTTATGATATTTTTATAACAAACATGCATAAATTTTGATAAAAAAAAAAAAAAAATTTGGCACTTAAGTTGTGATAAAATTAAATGTAAAGTAATTATTATGATTATTTTAACTCAAGGCTTATCAAGTTTTGAGTCATGAATAATATGCAAAAATAACTATCAAGTTGATAGTTATTTTTGCACAACTTCAGCGTCAAACCGTTTTTATGCAAATAATTCATAAATTTGAAAGTGCTAAGTATCTTTTTTGAGATAATTTCACTGTGACCTATTGTGAGACTATCAAGACTTGATAGTTAGATTAGCACAACTTCAGCGCCAAATTGTTTTAATGCAAAAAAGTTGTAAATTCAAAATTACTAAATATCTTTTTCGAGATAATTTAATTGTGACCCATTATAAGTTATAACTCTTTATCATTTACTAATTTAAAATATATATATATATATATAGCAAAATATTTTTTTAGTTGAATATTTTTTTAAATTTAGTTGAATTCCAAATTTTTTAACAAAAGTATGAGTTGCCAAAGAAGAAATCCTAGAAGAGGTATAAATTTTCAACTAGGAAGTCACGAAGTGCGTGAAACTGAAAATATTGTTGTTGTTCTAGAAGGAAGTAATGAAAACCAATCTATTCTGATTGACAATAATCCTAATTTAAATGACAGCTCCGAAATTCGAATTAGTAAGTAGTAATAAAAGTGCATTTAATATTATAGTGTGATTATATAGAGGTAATACTAATCCATGGAAAATAAATCTGCAGAAAGTTTTGTTGTTTTTTGTTGTCAAATTTAATATATACCTGCAATTATAAATATGAAACAAAATATTAGAAAATGTACAAATTTTAGCCAAAGTTTCCAAAATCAGTAAAATTTAACAAACAAAAAAAAAATGTTACCAAAACAACTCATTACTAGAAAGAAAACCATTTTTTCACAGTTTTTTCAACTGTATCTGACCTTATTTTATTGCTAAAAAAATTTTCAACTTAAAAAAATTTTAGTTGCAACTTAGTCGTCATTGTTTTTTTGTTTAATTTTACTGATTTTGGAAACGTTGACTAAAATTAATACATTTCTTAATATTTTGTTTCATATTTATAATTGAGGTTTTAGATAAAATTTAACAACAAAAAACAACAAAACTTTCAGCGAAGTAGTATTACCCATCATATAGCTTATGTATATATTTTAAATAATAAATAACATATATAATATGATTATATTATATTTGAGATTATAATATAGGTTATTTTTAATACTAAAAATAAAATACTAAAAACAACAATATTGTTGTTATTGTTGTTGCTGTTTTTAATTATTGGATGTTAATTTATATATTTTTTTGAAATTTAAAAATTCCAACATTCTTTTAATTATGCTGCCTGGTTTTTTCTATAATATGAAAGTGATTAAAATTTCATTTTTGTGTAAATTCTGATGTAAAAAATTTGCAAAAAAAAAAAAAAAAAAATACTATTAATGGATGTGGCCATTTTTATATTTTAATTATATACACAATCAGCTATTTAAAATTACTATGTATATTTTTATTTTTTGTACGTATATTAACTGACTTAAATAGGAAAAACATGTAGATACACCAATTGACTTGATTATGGAGAACATGCAAATAGTGTATACATACCGACAGTGTACATATATACTCAGGGTTTGGATAAGAACAGACAATCTCAATTCTAACCCTAACCCTTTCCCGATATATGTATATTCTGTTCATGTTTTCCCTTTTTAAGTCAGTCAATATGTGTACATGTTCTGCATTTTGCTCAACAACAAACACATTTAATAGAATTAATTTACCAGAAAATCATTAATATATAATTCAAAAATAAAATAACAAGTTTTTGAATTTTTTTTTTTTTAAACTTCAAAAATTTACACGATAACATAAAATTAACTTTAAAAATATTTTTAATGTTAATATTATGTTATCATGTAATTATAAAGTCATATTTTAAAACAAAGAATATTTTTAAAATTTTTTAGTGTATTTATAGTATTTATTAGTATTTATAAGTATTTATAGTATTTATAAAATTTATATTACACTTTATTATTTATTGTACTATAATTATTATATTATAATAATAATATAATAATTATAGTAATAGTTATTATATTGTTATTATTTGACATTTTTATATTATTTTTTTTATTTAATAATATAATACTGAAAAAATTTACTTTTTTGTCATATTATTGTCACATAATGTAGGGTTACCATACCTCCTCTTTTTCCTAAGTCTGCCCTCTTTGTTTTATTCAAAAATCTAGCTGGGAAAGTTTTCTCAATCAGCCACAAATGTCAGTATTTTCACTTAAAATTCAACCAAAAGTTTTTTTTCAAACCGAAAGTTCAAGCCAGGTTTAGTTGGTACCATAAAAATAAAAAAAAGTTTAAACCAAGTTTGTAAGTTTGAATGTTCTAGCATTATAAAGCATTAAATGCTTTCAATATTGTATAAGTTTGATATAGTTTATATATGGTAATTTTTAGACTTTGTGTTGAATATAATTGAATGTAAATTGAATGCAATATATTCAAGTTTAAATCATTTTTCTTAATTATATATATATATATATAATATATATATATATATATATATATATATATATATATATATATATATATATATATATTCAATATATATATATATATATATATATATATATATATATATATATATATATATATATATATATATATATATATTTATTGAATATATCTACCAAAGGATTAAACAAAATATATTGTTGATATCAAAGTCACATAAAAATTGAAATCAGAGGATCAAGTAGCTGTTGTTAAAACTATTTTAGCATTTCATACAGTAAAGTGTCAGTACAGTTAAAAATCTAATGATTCCACCTCATTACATTAATTGCAAAAATGTTTCCAGATTCTGAGATAGCAAAAAAGTATTTATGTGCTAGAACGAAGCAATTTTTAATAAGGTACTTGCACTAAATTTTCTCCAATCTGTCCTGAAAGATATAGAAAAATATGGAATCTTTTTTATTAGAGTAGCTAATAAACAAGATTCCTTATATATCCTGAAAAAATTGCAGATCTAAACTGTTGGATGTCCAAAGTACTCTGAATGATCTTGCTGTCTAGATTACAACTGAAGTCAAAGAGACCTTAAATTAAAAAAAAGTTGCTTCACATATCAGGCCTTGCTTTAAAGCGTTACGGATAGAGCAGTTCACGTACGCCTTAAGCATTTTTACATAAGCAGTAAGAAATTTTGGTTAAGCAACCTTATATCCTTTTTTGACTTTTATAAGCGGTAAGATAAAAGAAATAGTTAATTTAAAAAAAAGTTACATTAACTTTTAAATGGCGTTTATGTAAAAATATTTGTTACAAAAGTTTGAATGACAATTATGTTAGATATAAGCACTATTTACTAATGAAAAAAACTCAAATAAAAATAATAATTTATTTTTATTTTGTTTTTATTTTATTGTACTGATTGATTTTTTGGCTTGATTAAAGCTAATACTATAGGCTTGAAGCAAAAATCACAATAACATAATTTAATTCTGATAAAAAATGTATGATTTAGTTTAAAACTTATTTAATAAAAATATATAATTTTATTATGTTAAAAAAATATATATAGTTTAATTTAGATTTAAAAAATATAGAATTTTTTTTTTATTTAAAAAATATATTTAGGTTTATTAAAATTAAAGTTAATGCTTAGGTTTAACTTAACTGTCAAATTTATTTAAAAATATTACTAAATATTATTCAATGTTGACATTTTATTTATTTTTAGAAAAAATAAGCTCATTTTTATCGCAATTGTTTTTTCGGTTTTCCTTTCTAAACATTTTTTTTTTAATTAAATATTAAATAAATGGCTTCATCAAAAATTTGCACAAAATGTGAGTTAAATATTTGTTTTTAAAACGCAAGTTAAATTGCAGCGATTATTTTTATAAATGATTTTTTATTTTTATTTAATTAAACTTGATATTTGAAAAATATCAAGTTTAATTAAATAAAAATAAAAAATTTTAATAAATTAAAAATAAGAAAGTAAATTTAAATCAAAAAGTTTTTATACAACTTTTATATTCTTTTTTTTAGAGTTATTGTTGAAAAAACATCTTTTATAATGATTTATCAACAACTGAAAATTTTGATATGCAATTTATTCTCGATTTTTATCAGTCAATATAATTAAGAAACTAATTTGTTATGTACGCTAGAACTATGAGAAATTTTGTTAATTTTTTTTCTTATGTTCATTCCTTTTGTACGTCTTTTTGCTTTTAAAAATGTTTTTGCATTTTGAATAATAAATTTTGTAATGGCGGAATAAAAGAATAACATGGTTTCTTTAATAAATGTATTTACTGCATATTTACTATTTTCTATAAACCCAAGTTGTTTTTAGGATTTTTTTTTTTTTTTTTAAATCTATTTGAACAAAAAAATTTTAATTTAATCTAAATTCTAAAATTTTTTAAAATAATTTTGCGATTAAAACTTGAAATTAAAAAAAATAATTAGAAAATTTTTTTTAAATTTTAATGCTCAATAATAAAAAATTTAATTGTCGTAATACTCATTGGCATAGCGAGGATCATTTCTGAAAGTTAAATGTATATCAGAATTTAGAACATATTGTAAATGAGGAAGAAAGTTTTATTTATATCATAAACATTTGAATAGTTAATTATTTTTTGTTTCTTGAAAATAGTTTTAAATGTAGAAACATTCTATTGCAAACATTTAACCAGTGGTTATTGCAAACGTTGAACCAAAAAATAAATTATAAAAAATTTAAATCAAAAAAAAAAAAGTTGTTTTACTTCTGTTCAAACAAATTTTTTTCCAAAAAAATAATGTAAACATATTCTTAAACTTAAGGAAATATAAATTGATTTATTAAACCAAGTTTTTTTCTTTCACTTTTTATTGCAAAACAATTTGAATCAAAAAATTGAATGAAAACATCAACTTGAAAACCATTTTAATGAAAAAATTAATTATACTTAAATTTTTAATAGTACGCTAGATCAAGAAACAATAAATTATAAAAAAGCATGGTACCTAATGTTTTTTTGTCTATAGACTCAATGCTCGAATTAAGCGTATCACGATTGCAAATTGCAATTGCTTTTCTCACCTTTAATCAATTCTATTTATATTGATACTTTTGTCTTCGTTAGGTCACCTGCATTTTTTTGATTTTTCAAGTGAGTTAAGCAACATATAAAATATATATTTAATGAATTAAAAAACAGTTTAATAAATAAATATCAAATTGCATAAGCATCCATGACAATTCCAAAAAGTATAAGTATTTATAATGCTAATGACTAAAAAAAAAAAAAAAAAAAAAAAAGTAGTTTTAAAACAATTATTTTTTTAAGATTAAAATATTTTGTGTTAGTTTGTAAGTTACGATTTAACTATATCATCATAGTTATTATTTTATAAACAAAATTTAATACTTATTTATTGTATACTGAATAATATTTGGTCTATTTCATTCTTCTTTTAACAGATTTATTTAAATGTTGATTGTTTTGTTTATTAGTTTATTTTTTGTTACAGTCTGTTAGAGTTTTTTGTTACAGTCTGCAGATACTGAAAATGTGGTTTAAGCTTTAAAAAAAAAAAACTTTAGCAAATATGTTTAATGCAAAATAAAAATCTAAATGAAAGTGCTATATCAGTCTACACCAGAATGTTTAGCATCAAGTATCTGCATAAAATTGTCTTTATTTTGATAAATTATCCTTGTTGGAAATGTAACACTGTGTCATGGGTAGAGTGGTGTATTAAGAAGTTCTGAGTTTGATCCTTACCATATCATTGGCAGAACCATGTTATCCTTATTCCCCTGGATAGGAATATGATTATCAAAGATCACATTTTGGAGTTATAGTAAAGAGAGCAGGTTGTAGCAAAAATTATTAAGAAAATGAACAGTATCATTTTTTGTAATTGCCCCATCAGCCATAAAAAGTTTAAGTTATGAAAAATAAACTCTGGTAGCACTTAAAAAGATTCTTTCAACAGCTGTAAAGTATCAGTGCATGCATGAGGCCTCATAATAAATTCTTTTTTATGACTTTAAGTGGATTAACATGAATAAAGCAACTGCATCACTTTTTGTTTCAAGTAACTAAGTTTAAGTCAAGTTAAAGTTTTTTAGAATAAAGTTTTTTAGTCTTGAAAAATTTAAATGGTATCATGACTAAAGTATTAAAAAATATTAAAAATTGAATTTTTTCCCACCAAATTGCTTCAATTTTGTCTTTAATAAATATTTTTTATTTGTAGAATCTTACTTCTTGCAAACTTTATCAGACCTATTTATTCTTTTTGAGACTAATTTAAATATGGCTTTTTGGACCTTTTCAATTCCAAGGTCAATGGTTATATTTTTTGGTTTGCAAATGCTCACTAGTCACGTTTATGTAATCACTTACATTTATGTAACTGATACTTAAATATATGCTCAAGCCCTGGGGTTATATTTATGTATCAGTTTTCTTATTTTTGTGAAATTTGGTTTGAATCCTCAGACTCAGTCTTGTGGAGCCGAATATTTTTTTTTATAACTCGGCTTCGGCTCCTTAGAAATGTCCGGCTGGGCTCCAGCTCTCGAACTTGATGAATAAAAATTGCAACTTTTGGAATATTTTTTTTTAGTCACATATTATAACTCAAATCCAAACCAAATACAGTATTTAATTTTTAACTAACTTTTATGATTACAAGGTTGTTGTATTACTATCACTACTCTACTACTGGATATTACATTTGAAAAAAAAAATGTTTTGGGTAAATATATATTTTTTTCTATATATTATTTACCCAAAACTAAAGTTTTTAGTTCTAATTTTAGTTCTAATTCTACCCAGTGGGCACCTAAAAAAGACATCTTTTGATTTTGATGACTTCAATAAAATTTACTTGTTTGTTTTTTAATAAAGCATATTAGGAAATGCTATTAAACTTGTTTAGTACAAAATCGTTAGAATATTTATTTTTATTACGTTTAGGTATTATTATTTTAGACTGTAACTGTTAGAAAAAAAATAAAAAATAAAAAAATAATTTATTCAACAAATTAATTAAACAATGAATGAATAAAGTTGGTCTTCAGTAAAAAAAAACATACAATCTACTCCTTTAAAAAAACATGAGAGCCACTTGATTTTTGCGGCTCCGGTTCACTCTACTTATCATCTCAGAGAAATTGGTTAGTCCACTGTTAGACATCCAAGTCACTTTAGCTTCCATTGCTAAAAATATTTTTCACTTGAGCTCTTCTACAAATGTGGTCTATAAAATATTCTTTTTCTAAAAAGTGTTCTCTAGAACTCTATTTAATGCTCTTTAAACTATTTGATAAGTGCTTAACTGAACCTTGTTTTCATACCTAGAAAAATGGCATCCTAAAATTTTATCCCAACTAAATAATAGCATCTGTGGTCCTTATTTAGATGATTCTTAAGATTGTTCTGACTCTGATGTGAATAATTCCAATTAGTCTTACTATTATTAGCAAAGTTTTTAAGTCTTTAATTAACAACTTTATAACATTTTAATTCTAAGAACTTGTTCTCTAACAAATAGTATAGATCTCAAACCTTTTGTTTTACTACTGGATTGTTTATCCTTCAAATAAAAATATCTACTGTAAGTTAGATGTAAAAAGCAAGGCAAGGGTTGTTGCTCTTTACAAATGAAAAAAAGAGCCATCTTGACTGTAACCCTTTTTGGGGGTTACAGTCAAGATGGGTTACAATCAAGATTTAATCCGTAATTGATCAAAATTTTGAAAGTATCTGAAGTAGGCGGGTTCTCAATATTTTTGTTGATGAAGCACATGTACTACTTGAAGTAGAGTTTGCATTAAGACTTAATAAGTTATTTAACTTTTCAGCCAAAAAGGGAAAAACTTCAAAAAATAATAATAATTTGCAGGTGATAAACCAAATAAGATTGTTATTTTTTTAAATTGTACTCCACTTCTTGCTAACTTTTTTAGATAATATTTGCTGTTGTTGAAATTCAATGCAAAAAATTGTTTGCAAATTTTGAAAAATGAATTTCACAAGCAAGTTGCAGAGAAAATCCCTAAAATTCCTGGGAAAATCCCAATATCAAGAAGTTTTTTCCAATAAACATTTTCGCAATTAAGCAATCACTTAGTTGTACCAATAACAGTGTTTTTATTTCAATTTTTACACAATAAATTAGAGTTTTTTATGTTATTTTTCTATTAGTTTCCAAAATAATTAGTTTTCAATAATTTTTAGAAATATTTTAAACTTTATTTTGAAAAAATTTTATTTGGAGAATGGGATTTTTTCACCTTTAAATTAGGAATTTAAATTTTTTTAGCATTTAGGAATACCGCGTTTGATGGGGGCCCATAGGGCTAGTTTACACCCTGCATACAATATCCTTACATATTTATATAAACTTTAGTATTTATATGGTGTGATATTTGCCAAAAGAGAAGATGATCAGATGATAATCATGATCATAATGATGATAGTAATGATAATTATGATGATCATGTTGATCATAATGATGTTTAAATATGTATATATATATATATATATATATATATATATATATATATATATATATATATATATATGATGATTTTTGAATAAAAAAAAAATACTTTAGGATGTATAATTGTTTATGTAGCCCCAGTCACAAACTCAGCCCCTGCCGCGGGTATATTTTATCAAACCTGGGCCCGGCCCCGGTCAAATATCAACCCCGGTTATTTACTAGATGGAATTGCAGACATGGCATACTTTGCTTTTTATTTTCTTAAATTTATTTTAATGACAAATCAAATAAAAATAAACTTTACTTTGGGCGGACATTTTTTTTCAGGCACCTCTCTTTATTAAGTCTGCAAAAAACGAGTTTTACGCAAGATGAGTAATGTTGAAAACAAAGTATGAAACTCAGAGCCAGGGCTAGGTTACCCCACACCCCCAATAGAGAGGGGGAGAGGCTATCAAATTTATGAGTCTTAATGCAAATTTAACTATTAACAGGTTTTAGCAGTGCCATTAGCCATGGCACTGCTAAAACCTGTTTTTTCAGACTCTAAAAATGGTTTGCCTGAAAGTCCGCCTTAGAGGTGGAAAATATAAGAATAATTATTTGAATTGCTTTAAAAAAGTTGCTTATTTTATAGTGTTATTTTATAATAATAAACAGGAAAAATCCCAGGCCTGTTGTCCCAAAAAAAGGTGGCCATAAAATATTTGTTATTTGTTAATTTTTCTTTTGCTTTTTTTTATTAAAAATATAGTTATCACAACAATTTAATTTTTGAATGAATGAACTTTTGATTTTTAGCTCACTATTTTATTTTACTTTAAAAAACAAAAAAACAAAAAACTTTTTCAAAAGTTTCTTTTCATATTCTTATCTCAAATAATAATTCATTATAATAATAATGTTTATAATAAATTAATAAAATTCTTGTTAAGATTTAGTAATTTTTAAACTTCAATTTCTTTAATTTAAAAAAAAATCTTTAGTAAATGTAATTTATTTAATGTATGTATGTAATGTAGTGGCAGGGGAAATAGCTACCACAAGAATGTCCCAGCCCCTCCAACCATTCCCCCATCTCCCTCTACATTGCCAAAAAAAAAAAAGCAGTATCCTCAAATAAATTCTAAGTTTGTCACTGATATACAAGTGATAATTTATAGTAATATAAGTATTCTGTAATAATCATTGTTATTAATGTATCATTTAATTTTTTTTATTTTATTTTCTATAGCTGAAGAAAAATGCAACAGCGAATCTCAAACAACACCAGGGTTAATGAAAAATGGAATACCAATGAATGAAGATGGCAAAGGCATTGGAGAAGATTCCATTGATGAAGTAAAATTTTTTACAATAAGTTTTTTTCAATTTTTTTGTCATTGGTTTTTAAAATTGTTTTATTGTTTTTAAAAGTTTGTTTCAATTGTTGCAAATTAAAGTTGTACTCTTTTTATGTGCAATTTTTATATTTGTTTGATTAATGATTTTATTTATTTTAGGAGCAATCTTGTCCTGTTTGTTTTGAGGAATGGACTAGTTCTGGGAAGCATCGTTTATGCTCTCTTAATTGTGGACATTTGTTTGGCCGCAGGTAACTGTCTTTCAATCCCTTTGAATATTTATCAGCACTATTATCAGTAAGTCAACAATACAACAGATGTTTATACTTTAAGTTTCTTTTAAATTTCAGTATATTATATATATTCAGTATGTCATATATTAGCATTAGTATATATATTTAATATATACTAATGCTAATATATAATATACTAATAAAAGTAATTTATTTTTACTCCCAACTTAAATAGTTGCTGCTAGCAACCATTATTATTATTAACATAAAGCTAATAGAAAGCTAAACATAAACCACAGAAGTTTATTCAAAATTGCTAAATAATGCAAACTTTTTTGTACACTTTAAAAACTATTTTTATCTGGTACAAAGTCACTTTTTCTGTCAGAGACTGCACCCGTTCTATTGCATTGTTACTAGAGGTTATAATAAGCTTCATGGTTGTTGACATCATCGCTAAAAAGATTTAATATGTTAGCACCATTAATTTTTTTCTGCCCATGTAACCAACTTGTGGTATAAAATCTAATGCTGGTAGTTTTTGCTGCTTCTTTTTTTACATTTTCTTTTATTCTATCACATGGATATTTGCAAAAGGATTTTGAAAAAAATTGGTGCTCACCTATTATTTTGTGATCTTTCAGATGACACAGGTTTATGAGAAATTTCTAATATTTTTACTGTGGTACTTAATCATAATAATCATTTAAATTATAACTTTATAAGAAAACAATCAATTGCTGTTTGATAACAATGGTCAAAGATTATGCAAAAGCAGTCACATTCAAGTTTATCTTATAGACAGCGAATGGGTGTACAGTTACTTGATTTGCCAATCCTTGTACAGCTTGCTGCACAAAAAAACTTTAACTTTATATGTGTAAAGAGAACCACTAAACCATTTTGTTAACTGCTAGTTTTGATTTGATTCAGCTTGATTTGCTTTTTTTGTCTTGTCAATACCTCTGGTTTTGGAAAAAAATTTCTTCTGCTATTAGACCAATCCAACATTCTAAAAAGATTCCAATTCCAATTTTTTTGGTTTATTTTTGTCAGATGTTGAGCAAAGCATGTCTGCTACAGAAACGAGATAATTTTTATCAGATTGAAAGTCAAGCGAAACATTTAAAATTGTCTCAATGTTTTAGTCAGATAGAGCTAAATGGCTTAGTGCGTGATTTAGGACTTTTTAAGCAAGCAGCAGAATTACTAACCTCAAATATGTCCCTGTTTTGCCTGCCAAATTGAAACTTTTGAGATGGTCTCTGAAAAGTTGAATGGGTTTTTGAGATGCTTTCAAATAGACAAACTGATGATTCCATATATGGCCGTTATACTTGGTGATATTGTTAAATACTTTCTCAGGCGGGTTATACTAAAAGATGTTTTAAACAAGTGTAGCAATCTTTGCCAACAGCTTCAAGTAAATTTAACTGATAAAAATATTAGAAAACCCATAAATGACCAAGTTAATTTAAGTTATACTGACCAAAGAGTAGCTATATTCAAAAAAGAAGTAGAAGAGTTTTTAGCTGGTCTGTTGATTGAAATTCCTTGAAAAGCCCCCTTTGATGTTTGTCATAAAATGCGCTGCAGTATCCATTTACCTTTTTTTTATTTCAATTTTTATTTCAAATCCATTTTAAAAAAAAAAACTTGTATTGATAATTTTTCAACTCTATTTTAAAAACTAGTTAAATATTATCATTTGTCACCAAAGTCTGCTGAACTAGTAAAAATTCAATATTAAAAGTTTTTAGAAATAGTTGACTCAAATTGGACACTATTTCAAGATTTTAATATTATTAACGATAGCCTTGATAAATTCTTCTTTGATTTAATTAGGGTTAATAAAGTTTATCAAGATGTTTGGAATGTTTTTATGCATGGCCAATCATCCATTGAAATTATGCTTTCATATGGCCAATCATCCATTGAAAGTGGCTTTAGTCTTAATAAACAACTTTTTGTAGGAAATCTAAAAGAAAAATATCTTATTGCGTTATGTCTTATTGAAGATCATTTGTCTTCCTTTAAATAATCCCCTGATACCATCAAAATCAATAAAGAACTGCTGCAACATGTAAAAAAAAGAAAGAAGTCAATATAAAGAATTTATTTATAAACCCCCCTGGGAGTTTTTGTAAATGAAAAGTTTTTGACCAATTATTTTTTAATTCATATTTATCTAGTTACGTAGCTGATGTTTTGACAAGTTTTTTTTGGGGGGAATTTTTAACTTTTTTTCTGGAATTTTTAACTTTTTTTTGGAATTTTTAACTTTTTTTTGTTATAGTCTGGAATTTATAACTTTTTTCCTGGATTTTTATTTAGTGTATCAAGATTAAGTAAGAGCAAGTGTCAACATTAATGCAAAAAAATTTTTATTGACCTGTGTTATTAGTCAACTTTTTATTGATAAAGTAGTAATATCTCTAAAATTTCCCTACTAGTTGTATTGAAAGGTGGATAAAAGAGCAAAGAAACAAAAACTGTCCTCAGTGTAAACACCCTTCTAAATTAAAAGATATCAGAAACATATATGCTAAACATCTAAAAGTTCTTGATACCACAGACAGAGATCAGTAAGTATTGATTTTTACTCTTCCATTAATAATAGTTTCTATTATACTGATTTTTTCTTACTTTTTATTATACCATTTGTTATTATCATATTTAACTCTTATTATCAGTTTGTTTAATTATTCACAATGTTTGCTAATAAATATCTTAGTGTTTTTTTTTTTTCTTTCTAGTTGACAATATTTGTATATTTTCTATTTTTACTGAACCTTAAATAAACACATCTAGTTTGCCTTAGTTTATTTATTTACTGTCTAACAATATAGATTTTGATCTTCTGGTTCTTCCGCTGGCATGTTAACCATTATAAGAGAATAGTTTCATTGTGCATTAGGTTGAAGCGGTGAGGCAAGAGCTTTTGCTCTTGAAATATGAAAGATTTTTGGTAAACTCTGGCATGTGGTGCATCTGGCAAAGTTTTATTGAGTCATTTTTTTCAAAAAACAATTTTAAAGTTGTTCATTTTTCCAAAATTTCCTTCATTTGCAGTAACTTTTAGGGTACCACAAGGTCTCATGGTCCTTGTTGTTTGTTATATATTTCAATGATCTTTTTCAATAATCTTGAATAATTCATCATTTTTGGATTTTTTAGAACAAGCAGCCCATCTTAAATGTGATATCTCTTCTATGGCAGCTTGCAGTGGCTGGTTCTGTGATAGTCTTGCAGTTTTTCTTAAAAACCCAAGCTCGGTTCCAGACTTGCTTGTTTACTGCTAATAATTATTGTAATATTACAATAACAGGCTTGATCGGGAAGCGGGAGCAATCGCTCTTGAATACTGACCACGGAAATTATATTTAGTTGCAAAAAACTGGCCAGGTTTTTTAGTCGTTTTGAGAACATTCAAGTTTATGCACGTAACAAAAAATTTTTTTTTTACGGACATACATGGAAACATAAAAAACTTGAATGTTCAAATAATGGATGCTTGTAGTCCTGTTAAAAGTAGAAAGTATGAAAATGAATTCGTTAAAAAAAAAAAAGGAAAAAAAGGAGAAAGGTGTGTGTTGCATTTTTGAAATGACAATAGTATTTGTTAGAGTTTAAGTGGCTATATGATTTTTAAATTTCAATTTGCAATAACAAGAGTAAGATTGTTCTCCAAAATAATAGCGTGGTTTGCTTATTAAAAGAATTTGATTGACTTGGTAAAATATAGGTAAGACCAATGAATAATTGGACATTATAAGATTTAGTATATAAGAATAATTATATATTAAGATAACTCAATGAGGGAAACTAAATAAGAAATTTTAAGAATATTATTTTTTGGGACAGCAAACGAGCATAAAAACAAAAAGGCCCTGTTTTTCGTATTTTTCATCATTATACCAGAACAACGGTAACAATAAGAAAAAAACTACTAAGAATACTAAAAAAAGTCAACCATGTCAAAAAATATAGTAAGTAATAAATATGTATGATAATTAAATAGTTTCATTAAATAGTTTTATTATAGAGCCCAAAAAGAGCTTTTAGAAGAACGTTACAGGCGATCAAGAGCTGAAGAGAATGAAGCCAAAGCATTACTGCAGTGTCAACTATTAAGAGCTGAAATGGAACGTCTACGGCGAGAAGTGGAAAAACAGACATCTAGTTGTTCAACAAGCTCATTGTAAGCATTTACATATTGATATATATATACAACCCTCGGAATTAGCAAAAATGAGGTCGGCAACAATTTGCTGACCTCAATCTTTTTGAGGTCGGCATCAGATCGGCAAAAATTATTTGATACAAAGGTCTGACCATAAAACATAAAAATGAGGTAGGTAATTTTTTTGCCAACCTCAAACACTTTCAGGTCGACAGTTTGGTCGGCATTGCCGAATGCCGACCCTACTTTATAGGGTTGTATATATATACACACGCAGTTATATACATGTATATGTGTATATATATGTGTGTGTGTGTGTATATATATATATATATATATATATATATATATATATATATATATATATATATATATATATATATATATATATATATATACACATATATATATATATATATATATATATATATATATATATATATATATATATATATATATATATATATACATATATATATATATATATATATATATATATATATATATATATATATATATATATATATATATATATATATATATTAGGGTGGTCCTTAAAACAACTTTTTATTTAATTGTTAGCTCTCACCCTCTAAATGTGTTCTATATAATAAACATTACTAGAATTTAAAAATGTTTTAAAGGTAGCTCAAGACCCTTAAACATCACACGGGTCCCTATAATTATTTAAAAAATAATTCTTCAAAATTCTATCATGTTGGGTCTCAAAATAAGCGAAATTATATAAAAACTTCAAAAATAATCATCATTTCATTAAAAACATTTAGAAAAAAAAGTTATAATAAAATTTTTTGTAAAACTGCATATTTTTAGTTTTTAATTTAAAAATGTCATTTTCTTGGCAGTGAAATCTAAAATAATAATTTTTTACACACACATATAAATTAAATTAGTCAAAACACTTATCAAAATATCTTCTACAGTCTGTTTCTCCTTCAGCAGGTTCATCAGGAAAAATGTCTAAATATAAAAAAATTCAAAATATTGAAAAATTATCTCAAAGGATGTTGGGAATTGTTATAATCAATTTTATAAAAACTGTAGTTGTGTTGCAGTTAGGAAATTACATTAGCTACATTATTTTTCAAAAAATTAGTTGTGAAAAAGAATTCTTTAGAACTAGGATAATTTTAGTTTGGTAATTTATTTTTAATAATTTTTTATAAGGTATTTATTTTCATACCTTCATTTAGAAATTAAATCTTATTTTTTGTTTAGTAAATTTGTATTGATCCATATGGGTAATTGTTTCAAATTTTTCTTGCAAACATATACATTGTTTGGAAATATTATTATAGGCAGGTGCAGTTTTTATATTAGACCAGTTTAATTTAAAATTAAATTTTTTTATTTTAATTGCCAAATATATTTTGACAGCATAGTCTCTTTTGAGTATTTTTTATGTTTAAAAGATTGTTTGTGGTTAGTGTAACCTTTTTTTCCATTTGCCCTCGGTTAAGCTAATGTATTGTTTATCTGGGTTGTTTTGTGAGGAAACAATCCATTTGTAAATAATATTTTTTGATAAGCATTTGCCATTCATAGGGCAATCAATTTTTTGTTTGCTATTACAGTTTTCAGTATTTTTTTTTTTTAAGAAATTCATTTTTATTAATCAATGCAACATTGCGGCCTTCTATAATTTTTGTACAGCTTTAATTACTTTAATAGTATTTCTGTTAAACATTTTTTGCAATTTGTTAGTGGGAGGGGAATGTTTATCTATTAATTTTAAAAATGTTTTTCCATTATTTGTTGAAACATATTTGCTCTTTTTTTAAATTTCAGCTCGAAGTTTTTAAATTCATTTTTTTAAGAGAATCTTCATACACATGTTTAGATAAGTTAAAAATATTTTCATTAGAAAAATTTTGATTTAGTTTATTATTAATTAAAATTTATATTAAATTATTATATTTAAATAAGTGTTTATTTGATTATTATATTTAAATTATTATATTAAATTAGTGTTTATTTGAATTTGTAAGCCAATGTTTTTGAAAATTTTAATATTTTTTTCTATTTTGTTCTAGTTAAGAACCTGATTTATTTTGCATTATTATTAAACCATCTTTGTGCTACAGACCTAATTGATTAGATTGAATTATTTTAGGCAGGGAATTTAAAACATAAAAGCCCGCAAATTTGCAAATTTCTGCTTCATCGTAACTTTTTACATTGACAGCATTTGTGCATAGTTTTTTTTTGTCTATATCTTATCAAAACAGAATAAAGTTTTTCTGAAATGTTTAATTAGATAAATCCTCTGTAATTTCTGGATGAAGTTTTCAAATTTCTATTGTTTTATCCAAAATTTCTGCTGTAATTAAGGGTTAAAAATCATTAATGTCAAATTTATAAATGTGCATTTATTTTGTTACTAATTTTAAAAGTCAATTTATAACATCAGTGATATTTTTCCACTGCTGCAAATTTAATTTTTTTTTTGAATAATATTTATTTTGTCCAATATATATATATATATATATATATATATATATATATATATATATATATATATATATATATATATATATATATATATAATTATGATGTATTTTGTTAAAAATAATAGTCCTTTTTGATTTAAAAGTGATTGATATCTTTATGAAATAGATTAAAATATATTAAAATAGATTAACTGTAGAAAATTAAGTGTTTTGTTTTGTCACTGTGTCACTATGGGAGTGTCTGATGAAGCATCATGCAGATGTACCTAAGTTAGTTAGAATTTTTTTCTTTTTTCAAGTTTACGAGTTTTGTATCATGAGTTAGACTTAAGGTTTTATAGAGTTGATCATTTGGCTATTTTTAAAAATGTTATCAGTTCTTAAATAGAAAATGTTCAAAAACACATAATTCAAATGTTCCAAATGCAATATGAAAATTGTTAGTTATTTTAATATTACATTTTACATTAACAACTGGATTACACTACATTAAATACATCCCATCTACTTCTAACCACCCACTGAGTATTTTAAGTGATTACTATTAGTTACAGATCTTTGTTTAACATCAATTATCATCCAACTCTTCCAGCAAAATAATTTTTCAAAACTCTGCTCTTATTTACAAAAAGGTACTGAAAAAGTGTGGACTTGGTCATATGCATATCAAATGCTCTTTCCCAAAAAATTCCCAATTAAAAAATCCCATTCTCCAAATAAAGTTAGCTAAATTATAAATTAAAGTTTAGATATAATTCTGAAAATTTTTGAAAATTATTATTAAATACTAAAAAAAAAATAACTTAGGAAAGTCTAATTTATTCTGTAAAACTTGAAATAAAATTGCTGCTATTAATATAACTACGCGATTGCATAACTGTGAAAATGTCTCAGAGAAAAACTTTAAATTTTCTCAGCAATTTTAGAGATTTTCTCAGCAACAATTTTATTGATTTTCTCAGCAGATTTTCTCGGCAAAAATTTCTTACTCAAAATTTGCAATTAATTCTTTGCAATGCCTTCCAACAACAGCAAATATTATATAAAAAAGTTAGCAAGAAATAAAGTACAATCTAAAAAAATAACAAATACGTTTGGTTTAACACCCCAAAATGCTATTTCTTTAAAGGTTTTGCCAATTTTAACTGAAAATTCAAGTAGCAAATAAGTCTCACTGCAAACTCTACTTTAAGTACATGTGTTTTATCAACAAAGTTAATTCAAAATATCAAGAACCTGTTTACGTCAGGTTCTTGATATTTTGGAATATCAAGAACCTGACGTAACGGAAAGTTTTTTAGTTATTGTTTTTCTTTTTTTGTTTCGTAGTTTATATCAACTTAATTAGGTGATCGCATCGACTATAACCTTTTTTTACTGATTGACATCAACTAAAATTTTTTTTTAATAATCTACTATCCTTTAATATAATCAATATTTTTTTAGTTTGTTTTTTGTTAACAAAATTGTAAATTGTAAACTATTTGCAAAGAACTTTTCTTCTAATTCCACTCTTGAATCTTATGGACATTCTCTTCCTTCCATTCCAGTCAAACAGGTTGACCCATTGTTAGACATTCAAATCACTCCCGCTTCTGTTGCAAAAGTCATATCTCAATTAAACTCGTCTACAGCTTGTGGTCCAGACAACATTCCTGTCACAGTCTTGCAGAATTGTTCTCCAGAACTTTCTTCAATTCTCTCTAAACTATTTAACAAGTGTTTGACTGAGTCTTGTTTTCCTGCTTGTTGGAAAGTGGCATCTGTGGTTCCAATATTCAAAAACTCTGGAGAAAATTCTGACCCCTCCAATTATTGTCCGATCAGTCTTCTTTCTGTTATTAGCAAGGTCTTTGAGTCTTTGATCAACAAATTCCTCACATCTCATCTTGAGTCAAATAAACTACTGTCAGACAATCAATACGGTTTTCGATCCTCTCGCTCTACGGCCGACTTGCTAACTGCTGTAACTGAAAGATTTTATTGTGCATTAGATGGAGGCGGTGAGGCTAAGGCTATTGCTCTCGACATATCTAAAGCTTTTGACAAAGTTTGGCATGCTGGTCTTCTCCATAAGCTTGCTTCATATGGTGTTTCTGGGAAAGTTTTTGAGATTATCAAATCATTTCTTTCTAACCGGTTTATTAAAGTCATCCTTGAAGGCCAATACTCTTCTTTATTTCCAGTAACTTCTGGGTTACCCCAAGGTTCCATCCTGGGCCCTGTTTTGTTTCTTATCTACATAAACGATCTTCCTGACAACCTTTCATCTAAAGTAGCTCTTTTTGCTGATGACTCAACTTTATACTCCTGTCTTGACAAAAAGTCTTCTCTTTTCGATCGCCTAGAACAAGCAGCTGATCTTGAATCCGATCTCACTTCAGTAATAGATTGGGGTTCACAGTGGCTTGTGAATTTCAACTCTAAAAAAACCCAGTTGCTTACTGCAAACAACTACCGTAATATGTCAACATTCCTATATTAATGAATGGCAATCCTCTTACTGAGTCGTCCTCTTTACGTCTTCTTGGATTATCGCTTACTACTGACCTTTCATGGAAACCATATATACAATCGATTGCTAAATTAGCTTCTGCTAAGGTTGCTTCTCTTTATCGTGCTCGCCATTTCCTTACTTCTGATTCCATTCTCTACCTCTACAAATCTTTTATTCGTCCCTGTATGGAATACTGTTGTCATATTTGGGCTGGTTCTTCTAGCGATTCACTTTCTCTTCTTGACAAGGTCCAAAAACGCATTGTAAATGTTGTTGGACCTGGATTATCTGCTAAGCTTGAACCTCTTTCCCATCGTCGTAAATTTGCATCTCTTTCTCTTTTCTACAAATACTATCATGGTCACTGCTCAAAGAAGTTATCATCTCTAGTTTCATCAACTAAAATTCATTCTCGTTTTACTCATCGTTCAACTAAGTCTCATTCGTTTACTGTATCTGTCCCAGCATACTCTAAAAACTTTTATTCATCTAGTTTTTTTCCCCGCACTTCAATCCTTTGGAACTCTCTCCCATCTTCATGTTTTCCTTACTCATACAACCTTCAACTTTTCAAGTCTTCTGTCAACCGTTTCCTTGCTCTATAGCTCTGTTTTTTTTTTCCTAGTAACTCCCAACGTAATAGTGGTTGCTTGCAGCCTTGTTGGGAGTGAATGCAAATTAAAAAAAAAAATTGCTTTCGATAGAAAATTGTTTGTAGTTATTACTGAGGGAAAAATTAAAGAAGTTCATTAAACATAAACTAAAATGCTAAAAAATGAATTTACTACTCAAGATTGCAACGATATATTGTTTTAGATTGTCCAACTAAAAATGGTACTGGAGCATGCCAGACAATAGAGCTAAAAAAATTGTTAGAATTTTACGAGTGTCTTACTTTTTACTTTTTACTTGCTGCTGCGATACAACCAGTGGTAACTCAAGAAAATATGCAGGAGCAATTCAATTTCTGAGCATTAAACTTAATCTCCCTTTAAAGCTATGGTTGTTATGCAGTTGTCATCGCATATATAAGGTGTATATGTCTCACTTCATGGAAGTTCTCACAGGAAAGACAAAAGGAGAGAAATAGAGAATTATATTTAAAGTTAAAAAAAAAAGTGGAACCAAGTTTGTACAGAAGTGAACACCTTAAGTAATATTGTAAAAATGAGTTGGGATAACCTAAAGGTTGATTCAGTTTTGTATACTTTTGCAAAAGATGCCCTTTACTTTCTACTCTAAAACTCTGCTCCAAAATACTTTTACAAGAGGCGATTATAGGAACCTTTGCCAGCTTGTTGTTTTTTTGTCATTATCTTGGTGGTAATGTAACTAATTTTAAATTCCACCAACCTGGCGCTTGTCATGAGGCACATTTTATGTCAGATAAACTTTACCTCCTTACATTGGAAATTACAAAAAAATATTGTTAAAATAATGACAGAAAAGGAAGAAGATGATGTACAGAAAGGAAATTTTTTTACCTCCTTTTTTTATGCACCATAGTTTTTAAAAAGCTCTCAGTCTTCAAAAGCACCCAAGAATGACCTTGATGCTTTCAGTGCAAGTCTTAAAATATAAGAGCAATACAATGACCAATTCAGACAATCTTTAACAAAGAGTATAAAGTGGGTGGTATGAAAGTATCAAAGTAATTAAAGTATGAAAGTATACACTTTCATACTTTTTATACTTAATTGCTCAGCTTGTTGTGTTAGCAATTGGAGATCATGTTGGAAACAATGAAAAAATAAAAATGAATAATAACCTACCTAAATTTCCTACTAATCCATTCCAGATTAAGTATCCTCAAAATATTCTTGATTCCGAAACAACACTATCTCTTCTGGTTGGTCCAGAGTCTTGGTATCTTTTTGAAATTATTAGAGTTTCAAAAAGCAAAGTTGAACAGTGGGTTTATGTTGGAGTAAAATCTTGGGAGAATACTGAAAGTTTTCATAAGTTCTGCTCATTTGTTAAGTATCTCTCTACTACTAACTACTGCACTGAAAGAAACATCAAGTTTATACAAGACAACATGAAGGCATCTACAAATAAAGATTAAAGGTAAAGTATAATGCTACTTGCAAAAGATCGTAGAAAAAAAAGTTAAAATGCCAAAAGGTCAACTCACAAATGCTTATATTTTATAACTGTTTTCCCATGCATTTAATTAAAAAAAAAAATTTTAACATTGTTATTCATTTTCTCTCTGTAACAGTTGTGTGTTTCATTACTTAATTCTGCAAAATAAGTTTGTAAGTTAAAGTTTTTTATATTTATTGAAGAAAAATTGTATCCATAATATGAGTGTAAAACCGTTAAAAAAATACAAGTTTCTCTGAATTTCTAATTACATATCTAGCAAAGTTAATAACTTTAGATTAAAATTTTTTATATAGTCTATCATTATAGACCAAATCACATAGTTTGGAGGGTATAGTCTTTGGATTTTTAAATTTTTATCATTTTTACCCCAATATACATGGTTGTCAAATTTGTTGATTGGCCAGTGATGCAATTAGAAAAATGGCCATAAAGTTCTTTTACACATATATGGGCATTTGTTAAATTTTTCAAACTATTTTTTCAGTGTATGTAGTTTGACCATTAACAAGCTTTCATAAAGTAAAGTAAATCATGTTTAGGAGAACGACATTAATTTGTACAACTTTACACGATACTATTGAGGTGAAAAAAAAACATTAAACAGACTGGAAAGTACTAATTAATTAACTCAAAGAAGTCCAGAGAATTATAAACATAATTATATTTAAAATCATTTTGTATTTTGTAAAATTTTGCACCCCTCCCCCCCCCCCCCCTCCTATCCTTCTTAAAAAAATTTAAAAAATTTTTTTTAGAGGGAGGGGGTACAAAATTGTTGCATAATATTGGGGGGGGGGTCAATTAAGTGTAGCGGATGCATTACAAGGGGGGGGGGTTGGGGTTGGTCATAAATGTCAAATACTGTGTGATGTAATTTATGGACGACCCCATATGTGTGTGTGTGTGTGTGGGTATATATATATATATATATATATATATATATATATATATATATATATATATATATATATATATATATATATATATATATATATATATATATATATATATATATATATTATATATATATATATATAAATATATATATATATATATATATATATATATATATATATATATATATATATATATATATATATATATATATATATATATATATATATATATATATATATATATATATATATATATATATAAAACACATATACAAGTTTTTATTTCTTGTTGAACTGCACCTCTATTAATAATTTTAATAGGCGGAACTCAAATCAATCATCTGTATTTATTGCAAACACACAAGATATGTGTCCATTAAGGCAACCTCTTGCTACTGTAAGTTCTTCGCATATATCTTCAAGTCGAACATTTGTTTTTCAAAAGACTCTACAAGTTTCAACAGTAAGTTGTTGTTTTTTTTTTAATTATTTTCATTATATTTTGCATATTTATAGTTTGTAATAGAGTTATATATTTATAATAATAAATTATGTATTAATTTACTTTTTTTAAATCTTTTTAATTAATTATTTAAAAAATATTATGAAGTACAAATTATAACTAATAAATAATCTTAAAATTATAAATAAAGTTACGATCTATTTATGAATCAAGCTGTTACTCAGTATAGTACAGTTACCATATGTACATGTAATTGTAAGCTTTGAATGAGTTTGCCTTTGATTTGCAAATGTTCAGAATTTACAGTTTTGTTTATTTACTGTTCAGTTCAACTCAAAATGAGTTTTATCTGACAATTTTATTTTGAAGCAATGTTGATATGCAGAGTTATTATAGCTTAGGAATATTCCAGTCATTTTTGATGATCATGCAACATCAGTACTTTAGTTAACTGTATCTTGTTTAGAAATAAATGTAGGTCTAATCACAACATTTGGTGCAATCGTAGTTTTAAATGCAACTGTTGCATTCTTATTAGAAAAGTAAAGTAAAGAAAAGTAAAGAAACTTTTATTTTCTGCGAATCAGTTTTGTGAGTAGTATTTAAACATTTTTTTGGAAAAGTAAATGTTATTTAACAGTACACATTTAACTTAGGTTTCATCTCTTATATTATTGTGAAATTTTTATAGAGGCTTTTTTTTTTTTGAAATCAACTCATATCTTTGCAACAAACAGTACTTGAAGGTTTACAATTTAAGGAAAATCAGTTTGTGTAGCAATGAGGCATCTTATTCATATCTTTTTCTTATTGCAGATCATAGGTCACTTAACACCTTTAGAGCTCCTGGTCACTGGTGTCCAGGAGCTCTAAAAATGTGAATTTAAAATTGAAGATAAAAATCTGTTTTAGGAATCTGCATCGCTGAATGAAGCATATTCAAGTTAGTTTGCATGTCTTGAGATTGAATTTACTTTCAAAAACAAAAATATGCAAAAGTAAAAACAACTGCATATAAAAAAAGCTAATAAAAGTATTTATGTTGGTGGTTAACTAATTCACATCCAATAAGGTTGCAAGCAACCATTATTAAGTAATGAGTTATCAGAAAATAAGAGATAGGATTAAAAAACATATACTGTTTTTTAATCCTATCTCTTATTTGGAAGTTGAATACCAGTTAACTTGAACTTTACTTATCTTGAACTGTTTGATTTGGTTTCTTGAAATCATCACATTGATTACTAATAAAAATCTCCAGTAAAGTCGAAACTCAGATAACTCGAACTTTGTTTAGTTAAACCATTTTGTTGTCTCTTTTCATCAAATTTCTTCAGTTAACTTGAACTTTTTGTATTGGAAGTTAAGAACTCAAAATAGCTCGGTTAAGTTTTTTTTAAAAGTCATTTCAAATAAAATATAAATAACAGTAACCTAATATTTGTTATATTTTTTTTTTAGATCTGTAAATAAAGTATTTAGATCTGAATGGAATAGTAACAAATTCAGTAGATCCAATGAATGGAATAGTAACAAATTCAGTAGATCCAAATCAGGCATAAAATAGTGGTAAAACAAAACTGTTGTAAAATAAATCAAAATAAAATAACATTAAAAAAGCAATAAAAGATTGCTAGCTTTTTGACACAATTTTTTTACCAAATGATAAGAAAGTCACTGTGTTGCAAAACTTTTTTCAATGTTATCTTTTGAGTATTCTGAGTGAATACGTAACTTCTTTTACTAAAACATTTTTCATGTTAGTATAATTGTGTGTATTTAATGTTTATACTTTAGCATTGAATAAGGAAAAATCCCCTTAATTTGAACTAATATCTCAAACCAGCCAAAGTTCGACTTAACGGAAATTTGTTTTAGTCAAACATTTATCAAGTCAAACTATTTTCCTTGATCCCTTGGAGGTTCCAGTTATTGGGAATTAACTGTAGCTGTTTGCAGTAAACAACTGAGTTTTTTTGAAGTTAAAACCACTGCAAGTCCCAAGCTGCTACAGAAAAGTGATTAAAGACTGGATGCTTGTTCTAAGCAATCAAAAAGTGAACACTTTTTGTCAAGACAAGAGTATAAAGTTGAGTTGTAAGCAAATAGAGCCACTTTAGATGTAAGTTTTTTGTAAATAACTCTGTTTTATTTTGGGGAAAAATAATAAGATTGCACCCATGAATTAGAGATGGAATGCTAGGCTTACTTTAATTAATGACACTGTTGAAGTTTTTCCAAGTCTCTAGAACCTAACATCTAAGGTTAAGTAAACTGAGAATAATGAAGCTTGACATCAGACAGTGCTTTTTTACATTGACTCATAATAAAAAGGCCTTTGTTCTCAAAGTGATTATGGTTTAATATAGCAACTGCACAAGAAGGTGAAAAATGCGGAGTTAATACTGACATAAAGGAATAAGAGCTTAAATACCTGCTTCAGTCCAGTTGGTTAGGTATAATGCATATTTATGCATGCATAATATGGATATATATGGATATAAACATATGTTTGCTATTTAAATTTAGATGATGGCATACAGTATCTTTACATATTTGTATAAATTTTAGTATTTATATGGTGTAGTATTTGCCAAAAGAGAAGATGATGATCAGATGGATGTGTGGTATGACTCTAACAAGACAAGAAAAAGAGCCATAATCTTAGACAGAGATTAGAAAAAACATTGTACAAAAATTGTGCGTATGAAAAAAATTTGATATATTATATATATATATATATATATATATATATATATATATATATATATATATATATATATATATATATATATATATATATATATATATATATATATATATATATATATACAGGGTGTTACCTAGGAAAAAATTTTATACAGCGTTTTTGTGAAATTGGGAATTTAGGTGCGGCTAAAATAAAAAAAGAAGGTCCTTACATTCTGCAATTAAATTTTAATCAAAATAAATTTTCTATTTTTGCTGGGAGTTACATTTATAGCAGGATTATTTTTCTACTTCATATATATTTTAATTTTAACTAATCAACTTGTTTCATTATGAGCAATCTTCTAAAGTTTTCATTTAAATTGCTTCTTTTCTTTGTTTTTAATATACTGCAGCCGTTTTTCAAAACGCCTTAATTACATATTTCGAGAAAAGCGCAATAAAAAAAAAAAAAATCTGAACTCAAGAATAAATGTGACGTCAATAAAAATTTGAAAAAAAAAAATTTTTTTTTAACTTTTGAATGAATGATCTTGTTAAGGTTAATGACACTTGTTAATGACGACACATTTTTACACATTAAAAAAAATTGATCAATTTAATTCATTTTTTTGTCATGCATACTAATTTTTACTAGTCTAGCGCTACACTTTAAATCTGAGACTGACTTAATTTTTTTTTTTTTTACTACGATCTTATAAACCTTTGGGAATTTTAAACCATATGTGTATATATATATATATATATATATATATATATATATATATATATATATATATATATATATATATATATATATATATATATATATATATATATATGTATATATATATATCAGGGTGTTACCCACAATGGATAGATTTAACACAAATGCATGGTTTTATAAAACATTATTAGTATAAAACATTGTTATTCAGAGAAGGTTAAAGTGATTTGGGTATCAACAAGTGGAGAGGTAGTAGCTTCAGGTATATTACATATGGTATGAACAAGATTTAGTTAAGCTGTTTTTATCGAACTCAGTCCTGGTCAAGTTTTTACCCCAGTTTACTAGTGCTGAAGTGTTACCCAATTGAAGACTTTTGGGCTATTTTGAAAGGCAAAGTGTATGTGGGTAATAAAAATAAAGCTTTATTTGAAAAATTGGCTTTGATCTTGAATTTTCACTTTTGGTCATTTTCATCATCAAGTCAGCTAAATTAGAAATAACTGAGTTGAAATAAGTAAAGAACTTTAGAACTCTAATGTTATTTTTATTTAATCTTTAGGTTAAAAGTTATCAGAATAGTTGCTTTAGAGAATCAAACCAGATTTTCACTAATCATGCTTTCCCATGAAGCGTGTGCGGGGTTACACGCCTTGTTCGTTCACTCTTTTTTTTAGACAAACTGATCACAGAAGTTTACATCTTTAAACTTATAAAGCATTTCAATAATTTGCCTCAAAAAGCTAAACTTATCTACTAAGAAAAAAAAACTATCCTTAAAAAAGGAAACAAATTTGTAACAAAATATCAAGTTTAATTAAATAAACTAGAAAATTTAATAATTAAAAAAGAAAATTAGAAAGTAAAAAAAAAAAAGTTGTTTTTAGCTCTGAATTTTATACAAGTAAATAAAAAAAACATAATATCTTTAATAACAATTTTACAAAAATTAAAGGTTTTGATGTGCAATTTATTCGCGATTTTTATAAGTTCGTATAATAAAGAAACTAATTTGCTACGTACGCTAGAACTATGAGCTATTTTGTTAATTTTTTTCTTTACATTTTGATTTTCTTATTATAATAGGAAAATAAGAAAATAAATTGCTATTTATTTGTAAAATATATTATTTGATTAATAAATTTTGTAATGATGGAATAATTTAAATAAAAGGATAACATGGTTTCTTCAATAAATGTATTTACAACATTTAATGCATGTCTGAAATTGTTTCTTTTATATTAACAATTTCCAACGCAATTACAAGAGATAATGAACATAATGATTGCTCTGTTTAAAAAAATTTATTTAAAAACTTAAAAAAAAGTTTTTAAAAGGCTTCTAAAAATTTCGTTAAAAAAGTTCAGTAAATTAACAATGCATTAATCCACAAGCTTTTGGAGCATCGTCAATAACAATAATTCATCAGGAAATAAACTATCAGTTTATTTCCTGATGAATTATTGGTATTGACGGCTTAAATGCACAATTTCGATAATCCAACAAAGGTGCAGACTATTTCAATGGGAGTATTGAAAACAACCAAAAATTTTACATTTAAATATTAGTATTAATGACATTTTATTCTTTTACGTGAAAAAAATGTTAAAAAAAAAATTTACAAATGAATAGCAATTAGTTTACTCGCTTTCTTGTGCGTTGATAAAAACAGTAAAGTTTAGCAAAAACATTTGAAAAGCAAGTTTAAAATTTTCCCTAATATTTTTACTGAAAAAAATAGTGAAAAATTGTATATCAAAAAGTGTTTTTATTTTTGTTATATTCTTATCTGCTTTATTTCTCGACTTGTATCAATTTTAGTAGTGGAAAATAACAAAGGCCCTAAAAATAAGAAAAAAAATATATACTAAAATATTTAGGTATATTATTCTTTTGAAATCATTTTTCTTTTTTTAATATTCAAATTTTTAGCTAATTTTTTTTAGATTTTCTATCTTGTATAGTCTTCATTTCTTTTCTTCAAGTATTGCTGTTTTATTCTCTCTAGTTTCTTGTATTTTGCCGCAAATTCTTTAAACGCTAACTATATAAAAACTTGGTCAAGTTGTCTAAAAAAAATTCTTTAGGTGTAGATGAACATGGCATGCAATTGCAGACGCTTCCCAGGAAGGCTTGCTAACCACCTGTTATATGGTAGTTTTGAGTAATCAATGTCAAATATGATTTTACAATGTCATGTGATGTTTTCACCGCAAAAGTATTATTTTATTATGCATTCATTTTTTTTTTTTCACCATGGTAATAATGTCATTGGTTATTATTATCACCGTTTTTGACGAAAAGATGTTTCACTCTTCATTGGAAGCTTTATACCTCAATATGCAATTAAAACCATGTCATAAAGAAAGAGTCACATCTTTACAATGACAAGGCTCTAACTACCATTACCTTTATTATATTAGTGTGTAAGTCACAAATTTTAAAGTTAAATATTTAGATTTTTTTTTTTTCCTTTATAAAAATATATTTAAATGGTACAATTTTAAACTATCACATTATGTACAAATTCTAGAAGGTTTTTTTAAATTTACTTGGTAGTATTCTCAGTTCTGGAGAGGGCTAAATAAAAGTGCAATTTTTTTTGTACACAAGAGTTGATTAGATTAGTCTATTTTTTGGGTTAATATGGATAAACCCAGTTAGACAATAAGCTTTCCTTATAAGTTTTTCAGTTATACTGTATGCATAATACACATTTGGTTGTTGAACAACTATTGCATTATGTACAAAATCTAAAAGGTTCACATAGATTTATTTGGTAGTATTCTAAGTCCTGGAGAGGGCTAAACTAAAATGCAAAGTCAGATTTTTTTTACAAACAAGAGTTGTTCAGATTAGTTATTTTAAGACTAGTTAGTTTATTTTTTGGGGTTAATATGGATTAACCCAATTAGACAATAATATTTTCTTATAAGTTTTTCAGTTACACTGTACACATGATACACATTTGGTTTTTGAACAATGTACTATCAAATTAAGCACTAAGCTTTTATCAGTCAAAGTCAAAATAAACATTTTGAAAGTCAAAAAGAAATATTAAAACATTTTTTTTCTTTTTAAGTCTTCTAAGTTTTCAGCTTCTGTGTTTTAAGTAACTTTAAATTTTTTACAAAGCTTGCATCTATTTTTCTTGAGAACAAAAAACCAAAATTGGATTTTGCGAAAAATAGATAGTAGTACTGGGTTTTTTACCTGGCTTAATATTATTTATATTAAGCAGTATTATTTATATTAAATTAGTGAATTGTTTATACATTTTTGTTTTGTAAAGATTATACATTTTTGGTACATTAAGGTGTGACTCTTTTTATTGGTGTTGACATGGCAATAGTTAGACTCAACTTTTAAAAATGATTTTATATGATCTTTAGCTGAATCAGTATCGTGTGGTTTATGTAGAGAAGATTGTTCCAATTGCAACTCTTCAAACTGTATTAAACTTACTAGTTTGTCAATAAGTCAGCATTACTTTTTTTTTTATATCTATGCATATTTCTAAGTTGTTTTAAGTTTCAGCCTAACAAACATTATTGCTTCCAACAGCCTCTTCTACATTATCTCATATTAAAAGCATATCTCAATAATGAAAAGCATATCTCAATAATGAAAGCTCTGGAGGTTAAACTGAATTTCAACATCTATCAAACAACCTAGTAGTTTTCACTGCTTTTACCTGTTGGAGGTACAAAAGCTTCACTATCATTACTGCTAAATATGTTGATAACAAACTTTTGATAACAGATTCTCTCATTTTTTTGTGTTTACTTATAATAAATGAATTCTCGCTTAAAAAGTAACATTAATTTCAAAACTTTTTTCTTAAATCAAACGGCGTTAAGGTTGTGTGAAGGTAAAGAATTTTCATTGTTTTAAATATGTATCTTTTTTTTTTTAATTTTAGTTTTAAAATCTCTTTTCAAATTTCTTTTTATAATGGTTTCAGTCTTATAGTTACTTTAATATTGGTACAAACAAGAAATATTTATTTTTCTGGTTTTTAGCAATTTGACAGTAACTAATTTGAATTAATTTACATATTTAATAACAAAATTAAATTATATAAATTTTGTTTTGTTGATAATAACTTTATTAAAATTAAATGTGAAATTTATTTAAAGGCTGTGTGGCCAATATAAGCATTTTAGTGTAAATTTATTTAAAGGTTGTGTGGCCAATTTAAGCATTTAATGTGAAATTTATTTAAACTAGAGCACTTTTTTGTTGATTTTACATTATGTCAAACCAATGCAGAGAAGTGTAAAATTATTTTTTTAGATTTTCTTAAAATAGTTAAAAAAAGTTTTTTTTGCAAAAACAATTAAAATTTTTAGAATTGATATCATTAGTTATTCGATGGTTTTGTAATTGAAATAAATTTTATATTTTTGTTAACCATATATTTGGTTTTATTATTTTGTTAACAGTTAATATATTTTTCAGAAAGAGGCTCGCACCTTGGCATTTGATAAAAGCAATATGATGATAACAGTATCAAAACCTTCTCCCAACCAGTTATTTAAAGGTTATGGAGTGCTCAAGGTATAAAGGTATACCACAATGGTTTTGTGGTATTTTAATGATATTTTTTATAAATTTATACTTTTCTGTTAGTGATTTTAAAAAGTGTTAATCTGTACAAAATAGCATTTCTGAAATGATTAGTTTTTCTCACTTTATTAAAGGTAAGTTCACTGGATTCTCGTTGCAGTGAGTTTATCTCTATTCATCAAAACGTAATTCGAGACAGTAAATTTAATAACACATGCGATCGTTTACTTCTCACAGCATCAACAGATAAAACTATAAAAGTTTCAAATATGTTAAGTAACAGTGTAGTTATAAGGTAATCTTTTGTTTAGTAATTTAAAGTTGTTTAGTTTGTTACATGCTGAAGAACTGAGGAACTTTTTCAGGGAAGCTTAAAATGTTTTTACCCTATTAGTTATAATTGTCCCGGACCTGTGTGGGCCTGCGGCTGGAACGAAACAAATACCAATATTATTTATGCAGGAATCCAAAATGGAGAATGTTGCATATACGACATTCGACAAACTAATGAAATGCTTATGAGTATTCGGCCTCGCTTTGGTGCATATCCTATTGTATCTCTTTCATATGTACCTGCATCAGAAGAAAGTCAATCGATGTGGTCTGTTTACTAATTTATTGTTTTATAAAACAAGATTGTATATATATTTCAAAAAGTTTTGTATATTATATAAATCTATTTGTATATTATAGATAACTGTTTGATATAGTAGGTGAACAGTATTTTTTTTGTCATTTAGTTGCGAAGGAGTGCTTTTTGGAACATTGCAAGGTGGTTGGTTTATGCATAAAGATAATGTTCACAATTATAGCGATCGCCAGTTACTTTTTCCTGAAGGTAAAAACTTCTTAATAATGTGCTAAGTCTCAAATATTAAATAGTATATTTTTACTATTAAAATTGTTATTACTGTTAAAAAATTTATTTTTACTATATATCTATTATTTAGGATCTTCATTTGGTTTGTACTTTGAGCCAAAAACTCGCTATTGTATGTTATCACAAAGACCAAGTAAAAAAACATCGAGAGTTACTCATATGGTAAATTGTCAACAGTTTTCAACTTTTTTTGTTTTTTTATTCTTTAGGATAGGGTGCTTATATATTTGGAGGAGGAGGGTTGGAAACTTGGAAAACATATTGAAAACAATGGTTTTCAACATGTTTATTTAAAATTGATTAAAAGTAAATATTTAATTTATGTTTTAAATTTTTTTTTTTTTTTTTTTTTTTTTTTTTTTTTTACTTTAAGGAACTGATTTAAAACATCTTTTACTTTTGTATTAACTTTTTTTTTTTTTTTACATATGCTCTCATATTAAATCTTTTGTAACACTTAAAACAAAAAAGAAAAATATCAGTCAAGTAATTTTAATATGAGCTTTCATAAGCCAGTTTTTATTTTTTTAGATATGTTCGTTATCTGGAGACGGATCAGAAATCAATCCTATAAGAACGAACCTTGTTCAACAGTGCTACGGTGGCTGCAGCGCTCAATCATTAACTCGTTCGTGTATTTTTCCTAATCCAGACGATCCAACACAATTGATTGTTTGCGCTGGAGACGAATCTTCATCTTCGGTGCATAAATATATGTTTTTATCTTTGCCCAAAATTTTAAATTTATTTTTCGAATGATTTTTTATTACAAATGACTCTTTTATTACAAATTGATTTAATATTAGGTGATTGTTTGGGATGGCTTACGCGGAAAGCAAATACAAACACTGACAAATGCCGGCGGAACAGTATTTGATGTACTCTCATTTCAAGCTCACGATTCGAATTTTCTTGCCTCGCTCACTGAGACTAAACTATCGTTTTATAAATGGCAATAGCTGACAAAAATTTGTCTTCATGAAACTTTATAAAATAATTTTTTAATATTTAACAATAAAAAATTACGTATAGCAATATGTTGTTATATTGTGCAATATAAATAAAATATTTTTTATCTGATAACCTTAAAAGAAATTGTAGATAAAATTCTGCTTACTTTTAATGTTCATTTTGAAAGTATCTTTATAAGATTATTTTATTCTTTACTTTGCCATAGAGTTAAAAGACTAGTTTTTAAACAAACAAAAAACAATTCTGTAGATTTTTTTTGTTTTTAATTTATTTTCATACGGCTTTCTATCTTGCTCTTTATCTTAATTTGTTATAGTGGAGGAAAAACACTATAACAAATTAAGAGACAAATGTGAGTTGAACTTTTTTTTTTTTTTTTTTTTTTTTTTTTTTTTTTTTTTTTTTGTTTTGTTATAGTAAAGGAAAAAAACACTGAGACAGATTTACATTACATAGATTCACTGAGAGATTTGGTGATCGCTGAACATTGAGGTATTATCGTTAAATGCTGCGGATAGTAATGTAACTATTTTAAATATAAATTTTATCAACTTTTTTGTAAATATTTTTACTTATGTTTTTGACAAACATTTTTGTTCAATGTGCTTATTCTTGCGTAGCTAAGCAACATTACGCAAAAATTAGCGTTGAACTGCACAATAAATCCAAAACGTGTTTGCTCAGTTATTGAATAAACATTTAGTAAATACTTTTCGATCATCTTATAGAGAATCTTTTATTTGATCGTCTTTCTGAATAAGATGATTTAAAACTTGAATAATTTTGTTTTGTTGATCAATTAAGTTTTGACTCAATTTTTTTTTTTTTTCCTTTTTGAAAAATAAACATAAAACTCTCGGAAGTTAAATTTACTACCAATGAAATCAAAACTAATATAATGTTATTTTCGGTACGAAGTTATGAGTTAAAAACGAAAACGGTTTTTAACTTGATAAATAGGTCTTTTATCAATAAGCTATATTTAAATTATTCAATGAATGTAGAGTTATTCGATTATAGGTATTCGTTGAAATACACTTGACATGTTACCTATCGAAATCTACACAAACATCACATGCGTCGTATATCATCCTAAGTCAACTCGCCTGATGCCAACCCTCAACATTGTAGTAATTCCGGCTATTTGAAAGGAATTTTCAAAACTCATAAAGAAGTTAAAAAAAAATTGTGATTGCTTGAAGCAGCTTTGCAACAAATGTTTCGCATCCAACACATAGGCCCAAAAAAAACGACTCGACAACATCACAACAAGAAGAAAAAAAATTAATAGTTTAATATCTTGTAATACACAGTGGGCCAAAATTCATTTATATTGGACAAAAACTAATAACTTCTCACGTATAAAAAATTTAGGACCATTTTTGCACTGTTTACATTTTTGCACTGTTGAGGATTGCGGTTGCAATGGTGACATGTTTTAATTTTGGGTTGCTATTGATACCTAAATTGCTTATCAACCACATATTTTATTAACCATAATAAATATAAACTGGACTAAAGTAATAACTTAATTGGATTACTCCATAACTACCACATTCAGTATTTTAATACTAAAAATGTAGTGGTACCATTGATTTTTTATTTGGTTAATTAACCTGAAATGCCTGGCAACGGTTCATTTTGTATAGTTACTAGTTCAAGTTTCTAAAGACATCAAAGTTATAAACATAATCAATATTAATGTAATAGGTCTGATTGAAAATTATTTTATGCATTTAAAAAATTAAACACATACCCAATCACTAATTTTAGGTGTTTTTATGCATTTAAAAAAGAACCTAAAGCTTAAACCTTTTTTGTGTATATAATAAGGGGTCGTCCATAAAGGGCGTACGCTTTTTTTTCTCCAAATCCCCCTCCCCGCATTTTACCAAACGCTTTTTGGAAAACCCTTTATCTCCCTAAAAGTACATACGCTTTTAACTTACCAACCCAACATTTTATATTATTTTTTTTTAATTTAGTGTCTCCATACTTTTATAATTGACCTACTGCCCCCTTATCTCAGAAACCCCATTTACAGACCCATTTCCATCATTACAGACCGATTTCCTCTCCAAGCGTACGTACTATATGGACGATTTCTAATATAAAAGTTTTGGTTAAAAATCATTTTTCATACCAAAATTCATGTATTCTAATAATTACAAAACAATCTTGGTGCAAACTACAACCTGATGCAAACCATAGGTCTGAGATAAAAAAGATGCAACTAACGACGCTAATCTTTTTTTCTTTGTTTACTACTTGAAGTATCAAAATTCACCTGTAGTCTGTCAGATAGAAGAGTTGGATAAGAGCAAAGTTATCTTTATCAATTAAGGCAGTTAAAAGAACATTCTTACTATCAGTTACAAATTGAACCGGTTCATACTACTTATTCTCTTCGAAAAGAATTTTAAAGCTTTTGCTCTTATATGCCATCTTTGTCAAAGATGCTTCATAAAATTAGACTTTATTATTAGAATTTATTATTTGCTAAGTTCATGTCATTTACAACTGCATTCAAATTATTAGGATTAGCTAGACATCTGCGGATTATAAACCAAATTTTTATTAATAATATATATTGATTATATATATATATATATATATATATATATATATATATATATATATATATATATATATATATATATATATATATATATATATATATATATATATATATATATATATATTTTCGGGCACAAGCCAAAAATGAAACAAAAATAAACCAGACCAAAAAAAAAGAAAAAAATCATAATTTTTTGTTTTAAAGCCTTGTTTATAATTTATTTTTTGAAAAAAATTATTTTTAACTCAAAAATTCATCATGAATATTAAAATTAAATTTGTAAGAGAGTGAGGGAGGAGGGGAAGAATTTAGTGAATTTTTAATTGGGTGCTAGTCACAGTTCAAAACGGCGTGGGAAAGTAGTTCACTCCCAAACACCTATACAAAATCCGACACTAATAATCTGTAAAATATATTTATTTTTTCGCTTGCGTATGGATAATGATTTATTTTCTTTATTAAATATGATTTGATCCAAATGACTGCATGCAAGGCTTGGTTTGATATTTTCTTAGTCTGATTTTTATGCAGATGAACTGTGAGAAGACTTAACAAAATAGTTAGAAACGAAACACATAGACAGCCATGGCAGTAAGCAACTATATTGCAGATGTCTGATTCTCCGGATACTTTTAAATGGTCTCACGAAGCAGTTTAGAATTCAGCGGAGTTTTTAGAAATTCATTTTTCTACCAAGAGTCACTCTAATGATGCAATGTCAATTAATTTATGATTAATAAAATGATTTTCATTTTCTTCACTTTTTGCATCCATAAAATATAACTGTAAATTTAAAATGGCCTTTTCAACTTGGGAAAAAACATTTATTACAGGCAGATTTTTCTCAAAAAATGTCATTTTGAATGTAAAAATATTTTAATATTTTTGGCAAATATGGGATAAAAACAATATTTTAATTAGGGGAGAGTTGCCTTAATCGGAACACTTAAGGAATAAAAATTTATTATCCAAAGATGGCTTAACTATGAAAACATTTATGATTTGATTAATAGAAACAGACATCCCTACTATACTTTTAACCACAATTTGACTTAATTGATTGCATTGTTATTGGAAATAAATTTGTTTTTGCAAAGTTACTATTTTGTTCCAATCAAGGCAACTGGTTCCTTAAATTGGAACACTTTGATTCCTTCATCAGAACAGGTTATTTTTATTAAAAGAAAAAACCCAGTAAAATCAACAAAAACTTGTAAAAAATGATTTTCATCTTTACAGTGAAAATTAAAACAGTTAATTCAAAACTTATTACAGGATTACTATTACCCTGATAAATTTAAAGTCTACAAACAAAAAATTGTATAAATCTTCAACTGCTATGACGTTCTCTAAACTTATTGATTAAAAATCACTAAATAAACTATTACTTTTAAGGTTTATGGTTGTTACCAAGTATTTTTTTTAATTGCACTCGAACTACTTTTACAACCTTTTGATTTTATTACTGATTAGGTAAGAAAAACTGCAATATTAGAACACAAAATTAGATCGCTGAAAAAAAATGACGCAAAAAAACTTTAAATTAATGGTGCAAATGCATTTTTTGAGGAGTAACTTTCAAAATGTCTCAAAACGTAGAAAATAATGCGTTTTACTAAAAAAATACAAAATATAGCCGTAATTCATTTTTTTTCAAAAATAAATGCAAGTGTTTCAATTAAGGCGCTGTTCCAATTTCGGCAACTCTCCCCTACATTGCAAGTAAAAGTTTTTAACGTTTTAAGATTTTAGCGTAAGCATTTCATTTATTTTAAACTTGATTGTTCTTCTATAGAATGGAAAAATGGAAATCTTTCTTTCCCTCAAATTAACTTTTTTCATGAAATAAAAACGTAATTTATGACTTATTACTAAATAAACCAGAGTTAAACCAGATTTTAAAAAATATACCCGAGAAATCAAAAAAAGACGAAAGACTATAAAATAAACCATATTTAAACCAGATTTTTTAAAATAAACCAAAACAAAAGTTCCAAGCCAAACGATAAAAAAACAAACCAGATTTGAGAAATCTGGTTTTTAAAAACACCAGATGACAACCCTGACCGGGAGGTTAAAAATTGATCATTTGAGAAAAAAGCATTTAAGTATTACATTAACAATTTTACCAAATAACAATGTCTAATACTCGGCCGTGTGACCATGGTGCAGTGGTTAGAGTGCTTGCTTTAGAAGCAGGAGATCCAGGTTCGAAACGAGCCCTGGACATATTTTCGCGTCATGATAAGAAAAGAGGCGTGAACTTCCTGGTAAAATGCACTTCCACGTTGCTCTGTGACAAGACCATTAGGTTTCTTTGGGGCCCCTAAATAACAAAATTAGATACTCAATTTAAAATCTGTTATTTATAAGCACAAGAACCAGGATCATGTAAACAATTTTCTTTGCCATTATTTGCGTTATCTTTTTGTTTTTTTGCATCCACGAATAACTTGTCGTTGCTTTTTAAATGTTGGTTGATAAT